GACATATTGGTGAAAACGAGCCAGGGTTTAATGGAACCCACAAATTGAAAAACATGAAAAATATTCCTATTCCTTCAATCGTTCAAAAAGATATCTAAATACAATAAATAACCTTATTTATAGAAAACCCTCCTATCACCAGAGTAAAAACTAAAATCTTTGAAGGAAAAAAATAAAGAAACCTAAAAATTAATAAAACTATTTTTTGTAAATGATCATACTGATCCATAGACTTTTTAGCTGTGCCCACTTTAGTTTTAAGCTTTTTCAGGCGTTGAAATTATTCCAATAATTAAGAAAATATGAACTAATTTGACTGCATCGTCAATTTTGTTGTTACTTGGATGAAAATTGGTGGAGTGAAGATTTGCATGAGATAATTTTGAATTATTTATAGACCACCCCATTAATTGGAACTGGTATTAAATAATAAAATTTATCCTTAAAAAATCCAAAATGCACCCATAAAAAGCTTTCCTCCAAGTTCTATTAAAGAAATGATAAAACTAATCATACAACCAAATTGGTTCAGATTTGGTAAGCAAATGGGACTAAAATGAAACTGAAAAAGCCTAAAACTAAAATGAACACACCTAAGAAGTCTTAGGGATTATTTTAATAATTTACCCAACTATTTATTACGAGGCTCATTCTTATGGTCAACCTTTTGTTGCATCAATCACCTACAGTTAAAGAAAACTCGTCCTTGAGTTTCATTCTACAGAGATATTCATTTTGAAGCAAATATTTGAAGATATCAACATTGAAAGTAATAGCAATGTTAATGATGACAGGAAGATCAATATTGTAGGCATTATCGTCAATCTTTTTTTTTCTTTGAGCTTGTTATATGTGCCCATATGACTGATTTTTTTGAAGATTTATAATCACCAGATTATCTTAGAAATAATGATTTTCCATTTTTATTTGAAACAAAAATATGTGAAATTTGTTTCTTATAAACCTACCTATTACCTAACATACAAAAAATAAATAAAAAATAAAAAATAAAAATAAAAATAAACTACCTAACATACACAAGTTCTTCAAGGGACCCAGCTGCCAGAAGGAGAAATACAAGAACACGTTTTTGTGCATGATGGAAAGATCTATCTTGTGACTTTAAGTTTGTTTGATTGAACCCCTTCTAACGAACTTCTCAAAAATGCCCCTCTCATCCAGCTGGAAGCCTTGATCTAGATTATGGTGCTCTTAAATAACAGCAAGCCTCTCGCGTGCATGCTCTGAGAGCTTCGATGTGTTATGTTAAAATGAATGTGCATAAGTTTCTTTATCTGCTCAATAAACAATTTAACTTCCTGAATTAGTATGGTATCATCATCTTGAATATTGAGTCCATTTTCAACTATGTAAAGATAAAGATATTGATGTCTCGCAGAGCAAAAAATGTGTTAGGTTAAAATGAATGTGCATAAGCTTCTTTATATGCTCAAGAAACAATTTAACTTCCTGAATTGTTATGGTATCATCACCTCGGATATTGAGTCCATTTTCAACAATGTGAAGATAAAGATGTTGATGTCTCCAAAAGCAAAAATTGTCCTAGTTTCTTCAAGTTGGTTTAAGTATTGCTTCCTATGAGCAATTGCAATCGTAGCATCCGTAAATAATTGGTTAAGAAATTCCACTATTTCTTGGAGGCCTTTCATTCATGGTAGAACATAGAAAACCTAGCCACTGAGGTCTAACGCAAACTTGATTGAAGATAGGATTTTCTTTCTATAGGCAACTCTTTATAGGGTTGGTGTTGCGATTAAGCTAGCAAACAATAACCTAATCAAACCTAAAGAGTGAGAACATCAAAAGATGTTTTCAGTGATGCATCTTCTCTTATATTTTATGCAAAACCTCCATATTCCTCATCAACAATAAGAAGGCCAAGGTTGTTATAAACAAACAGACTGCCGCAAATTGACAGTGCTTCAACAACTATGTCCAATTTCCCATTCTTGATCAATGAAAGATGCTCCTCTTTCTGTGTCTTCGTTTCAGAAAAAATAATACAAGATACTACCAATATGTTCTGTCGCTTAGATTCAGCAATTGGTATATTAAGAATCAATACCAACACATAGAGTAACCGCTGGTGGTGTTGTAAAACCCAAAAACGACAATCATAGGTCGTCGCACGTATTTCGATACGTCGCAACGAAACTTAAGTGAAAAATTCAAAGTTAACAAAATTTGAAGGAAGTAATTTTATAGAATTCTACGCAAATTTCTGATCGATTTGATATATAGAACCTATAAAAATTTGTATATTTTGGGAGTTATAAAATTTAGAAGTTTTTATATACCCAAACTACCCCTACGCAAATAAAATGCTGGAATTGTTTAAGGGTATAATGGTCATTTGGAAATCTCTTTCTCCTTATTATATCAAAATCGAACCCTCCCCACTCTCCCATTCGCAATTTTCGGCCAAACCGTGAGAAAGAAGAGATGAGCGGACGGCTAGGGGCGGAAGGGCGGTCGACGGACAAGGCTCCAACGACATTTTTTCGGCTAGAAAATTAGTGGACATTGAAGAGGACGACATGGGGAGTCTTAAGGTATTTTTTATTTGAAGTGAATTCCTCTCAATCTCAAGATTTTAGAGGAAAAATCTAGAGTTTTTCCAAAAATGTGGTTTTTCTTCCAAATTTCTTTATGAAATCGATAGAGAAGATATAGGGGAACGATTTAACGATAGAAATGAAGTTTCTTTAAGAATTTTTAGAAATAAAAAATTAGTGTTTTTACCTAAAATTGAATTTCCTTAAGGTGCTTTTACAAAAATGGTTTCTAAGGGTCTTAGGAATGTTTTTTGAGTTTTCTTAAGAAATTTCATTTTTCATATTTTTTTCTAATTAAATAATTCGGAAAATTAATTAACCTAATTATTAATTAAGTTTAGAAAATTGTTTAGCTTAATGATAGATGAAAATTTATGATTTAGGGTTTCCTAAAATTAAGAATTTTAATAAATCCGAAAATTAAAATTAAATAATGTAAATTTTATTAAATGTCATAAGGAACAATTAAGGAGAAACGAAGAGTTTAGACAATTAGGAATTTGGTTAAACCTTAAGGAAGATTTATTTGTGACATGTATTTTTATGTGATTATTAGGTTGTGATCTTTAAGGTGAACAAGGTTTGTCAAAGTGACACTTTGAAGAAATACTATGCTTGGGTTAAGGTAGGTACTCATTATCATAAAAATTTCATGTATAGTTTTGCCTTCCTTTTTATGCAATTTCAAATGTTTAAGGTTTTAACGTTCAAATGATTTATGAATTATATTTTTTTTCAAATGTCATGTTAGTATAATGTTTTTATATTGCAATAGATTATTAGGCTTACATGTTATTCGTGATTCTCATATTTTGAGCTAATGATTTTTTAGTCATAATTGTTTTTCATTACACATATGATTGACTAAACATAAATTATAAATTATGATATGAAATTGTGCATATTGATGCAGAGTGCCCAAATGGTAAAGGAGACTCAACAAAGCCAAATGGTAAAGGAGGCTCATCAGAGCCAATGGTAAAGGAATGGCCAAATGATATGAAAATGTGTATCTAATCAGTACAAACTCAACGGGCACCTTCGAGTCGGGTGATATAGTAAACATTACGCATAATGTGATTTATGTATGTTTTCTAAGAAAATGAAAGTTTATGTTTAAGAAAATGATAAATGAAAGGTTTATGATTAAGGAAAATGTATGAAAAAGTTTCTTATACAGAAATGTTATGAATTTATGCAAAATTGACCGTCGTTTAATGTTTTATTATGAAAAGATGATTTATTTTAGTTTTATGCAAATTTTTATGAAAAATATGAATTACTTGCTGAGCAAGTAAGCTCACTCCTGCTTGTGAGAATCTTTTTTAGGAGAACCATCTGGGAAGTGATGGCAACGAGACGACAATACACCTACCATCATAGAGGGCCTCAGGAAGGAAGGTTTTATGTTTTCTGTTTTGAGTTTGAGTCAGTGGTTTGTATTTGAGGAGTCTGTTAAAGTTTATATTGATGTTTATGTTTATGGATTTTTAGTTGTTGTGGTTTAGAAGAAACAATTTGGAACGCTTTCAATTGATGTTTTAGTAGCTCTTTCTTATTTATGTATGGATGAAATGAAAGTTTATGTTCTGTTATAAAAGTTAAATGAAATTGTATGATATATGTTATGGTGTTTTCCGTATAATTGTCTGCTCCCACCCCGTTAATTCGAGCTAGCTGGGTCGGGTCGTGATAGGTGTTGAATGACATCATTAAATGGACAAATAAGGAACTTCTGATGTTGATTCTTGCATTCTTAGCTGCAATGAACGCATCATTGGTCTACTCCGTTGTATGAATGCAAAAAGAAGACGTGGGTTTCACACTCGCACAAGCATAGTTGATCTAATTCCCAACTTCAATCATGCCCTCCAAATTCAACAGTAAACAGTGGCTTGCTCGTCCCCATCTTGTGATTGTCGCTCATTATGGCCATGATTCGTCACCATGTGTCATTGCCTCAATCTTGCATTGATTGAGTCATCCAGGTGTTGTAATTGCTAATCGCCACACATGACTTCCCTTCCTCAGGAAATTAGTGACCAATTAAAACTACAATAATCTTCTTAATAGACAACCATCTTATCCCACGATAGATTGGCTCCGGTAAAAAAGTATAATTTGTACATTTTGCAAACTAATTTAAAATATTAATTTCTGACCTCTCAAATTCCACAAACGTGTCCTACAAATAATTGTTTCTTTTGATCTCTTCTATAATCAAACTTTCTCTTTCCTTAGAAGTTAAAAAAAATAAATTTATTTAAGAAATGGTGGCTCCACTTTTGAAAGAAATTAAATGTTCTTGTTTCCAAAATAATAAATTATATATTGCAAGATCATAAACTACAATGAAATCAAATAAATAATAAAATAAAATAATGATTTTAATATAAAAAGTATTATATAAACCATATCATATACCACAGATGCAGCAGCTGGCCTTCCACGGAAGAGAACTCCTATTGATACACCAAAGCTAGGATAGCAATGTGCAAAATTTGTCGTCCCATCTAAAAGTTAAAAAAGTTTAAATTAAATATTACTAATAATTATGATTCAAACAAAAATGGGTACTTGGAACGAAATCTTAGGTACCCATTTTATGATGCAGATAAAGTGTTAGTACATGCTCAATTCATCCTTTTTTTTATGAGCCTAAACACGTTACAAATTTTTAGCCAAATATCCATTAGAGATTTGAAAACCAAAATAAAAAAATAAAAAAAGAAAAAAAGAAGAATAAAAGTTGAAAAAATAAAAAAAATCAAGAGTAAATTGAAGCATTTTCAAGCAAATTATCCAACAGGAAAAGGGAGAAACTAAATGAAGATTAGAAGATTGAAGAAAATTTATTGCACACAATAAGTATCCAATAAACAGAAAAAAAAAAACACTTTGAAGAATAGAAAAAAAGGATGTAAAAAGAAATAACATAAAAAATGAGATAAATAAAAAGAAGAAAAAAAAAAGTCCATCAACAAACTTGAAAAAACAAAAAAAACCAATAAAAAAAGTAGAAGCTTGAAACCATATTTACATAAACAAACTTCAAAAAACAAAAACCCAAGAAAAAAAGGAGAATGCATATTACGAACAAGCTTAAAAACATAAAGAAAACAAATTAATACAAAAATAGATAATGAAATATTTAAGAAAGTTGTTAAACGCTTGCATATTTTCTACCTGCTAAGACACTCACCAAGAGTTTAGCCCTCTTATTTTCCTCTTCCGCTGCAACCTCACTGATCCATGGGATATTTAATAAATATAATGCCTACTCATCAATCCATGGACAATTGTAATTATCATTCTATCTAATCATCAATATGTAAATTATTATAATTATTATATCACTATTATTCCTTAATTTTGTATGTTTCTTAGGGGTTGTTTGGTTGGCTAAAAATGAATGCAGTGTAGAAGGAATATTTTGAAGTTGTTTGGATTAATGTAAAATAAATGCAAGTGAATGATTTTTTTTTATTTGAAGTAATGAATGTAGTGTAAAGTCCAAAAATGGTTGCGGCAGGCGGGGGAGGTGATTGTGGTGGTGGTGGCCGGCGCGGCCGACGGGTGCGACTGCTAAGCAATGGTGGCCGGTGATGAGGGTAGCTTGCGGTGGTGGTGCGGAGGATGGTGGTTGTCGTCGGCAGTGTTACTAGTGATGGCTGGTGGGTGGTGGCGGCGTTGGTTGCAGCAGTGTGTGGCAGCAGTCGGTGGTGGCCGGCGAGTGGCGGCGTTGGTGGGTGGCAATCAAGCAAGTTTGCTTGTGGTGTAAACAGTTTCTCGCTCAAAGTTGGGCGAGTTTAGTTTAATTCAAAAATAAACTAAAATGATTTACATTGTATTTACTCCACTTTGCTCATCTTTGTATTCCAACAAAACATCAAAATTTTCAAAATTGTTGCATTTGGAATCATTTACACCACTTTGTATTCCAACCAAACAGCCCTTTATTAAAAATTCTTCTATAATTATATAAATATTAAACATGTTGGAAAAAATATTCAACCAATTCTTAATTACTGTCATGATACTAGAGTCTTAAACTTTTTTTTCTCTTAGCATTTCAATAAGCTATAGCTTTCATTGCCACACTGCCTAGAACTTGCAAGCCTTTACTGTTGTAGTCATTTTTCTTCCTTTTTCCCATTTTTTTATGCAGCAACACTCATCGTTGCATTGTTTAAAATACTTACCATTGTTATAAACTTCATCGCCACATTGCCACATTTCGTTTTTTTTTTTTTTTTTTTTTTTATTTCGTTTTTTTTTTTTTTTTTTGTTCTTGTGACCAGCAGCAGTTTCTCCCTTCATGGACAACAATAACAATACTCATGTACCTTTTATCTCAGGTTCTCTTAGAATTGAGGGGTGCAGTATAAATGTAAAAGAAGAATTGCAACATATCCATTCAATATATCAATTGAATAAAAAGATCTAGCAAATGTGTTCCCAATTAGTACCGCTTACAAAGGAAACACAAAAAATTGGATCATTTATTAGGCATAAAAAAACAAAAAGCCTTGATAAGAGGACCGAAAAAACATCTATAAAAGGAATTTCTACTCTAGTATTCTTAAGTATTATATCCTCTACACAAGCCTTTAAAGTCACAGAGATCCCTATTTCAAACTCTTGGATCATGGATTCAAAGGCTGCATATCATATAATTCATCTCATAAATTTATTTCATATTATGTTGTTATAGAAGTAAAAAAATAACTATAGCCGATGGATACTTAACAATCATGAACAATCATAAAAATATTGTTATAAACAAATCCCTCACTCTCTCAATTATCCTTCATGCACCTAAACTATTACCAACCTGTTATCCATTTTAAAGTGAATTGAAGATGTCAAGAGCAACATTTTGTTTTAGCTTTCATATTGTATCTTCAAGAAACAAAGCAAAAGGCGGACGATGGGCTCACTAAAGAAATTAAGGGTTTCTACCACCTAAAGGAATCCAATGATCAAGAGAACCCAACATTCAATATTATCTCTAATCTTATAAACCCTTAATTCAAATAAAGATAAAAATTAGCTTCAACGCCTATTCCTTGACAACCACCCATCATTTATTATTCTCAAAATCATATTTCATTCATCATTTAAACAAATCGATATTAAAAAATTTTATTATGATATATGTGAACTAGTAAAACACAAATATGCCAATCTTCTAATGAGTAACACAAGAATCTTTATTCATTTTCTCTCATTCATAACGACATCTAAGGATTTCTTGAAGTAAAAAAGTTAGGGTTTTTCTAAAACTTGAAATTATGGAAGGTGAATGTTAGGGAATGTTGAATAATGATTTCTAATCATGAAATTTTAATTTTCCCCAAATTTTGTTGAGTTTACAAAAATTAGGGTTTTTCCAATTTTTTAATTTCTATAAAATCTCTTTAACGAATATTGTTTCATATGATCTTAGGAAAGTTTTTTAATGGTGAAAATTCAATATGGTGAAATTAATGAAAATTTGATTTTAAAAATAATGGTTTTAAAGAAAAATCGAAAATAGAGAGTAGTTTAATTTAATTTAGGAAATGATAAAGGGTTAAAATAAGAAAATTAGGGATTTAGACAATAATTTGAATTTTTTAAAATTAGTATTTAATTAAATTTGAAAATAATTAATATTAAAATATTAATTAAATGAAAGTATTTTATGTTTCATGAGTTAGTAATAAAGGTGTTCATTATTTTAGGTGTTGGATATATGAGAAGATATACGCCACAATCATAAATAGTGTATTTTGCTCGTAGAAGGTTTAATTGTTGCTTATTGAGGTAGGTTCTTGTATTTCTATTAATTTTCATGTTTCTGATTTTTGTCACGACCCGGTCTGATAAGCTCAAGTTAACGAGGCAGGAACAGACGGTCGTACAGTAATTATTTAAAACTTTCATTTCAAATTAACATGATCAAATATTCATCCAAATACAAATAAGAAAAAATCACTAAACTTTTATTACAATAATTTCTAATACATCAAAAACAACAACTAAACTTAAACTGATAAAATTTCTATAATGAGTTCATTATATTCTAACCACATTACATCACATGAAATAAAAACAACCACAAAAAAACCTGTCTTCTTGCATTTATCTACGACGGTAAGTGAAAGGAGTTCTATCAGTCATCACTGCTTAGCAGGTTCTCCTAAAAATAATCCACAATTTGGGTGAGCTAATGCTCAGCATTTAACATGCATTTTTATCAATTTCATAAAGCAAGGAAAGGAATTTCATTATGCATGCCATTTTCATTTTACAATACATGAATAACTAAAGAAAGAAATAATACAAGTGCCATAGATTTATATCTGGTATGCTTATTCTGTATGTCATCCTAAATGACTATTTTTCTTTTTCATATAATATTAACCTTTTTCATTTCTTCTTTCATTATTTCATTAATGCTCTTTATGCATATAAAACTTATTCATAAACTTATACACCCGTAACGGAAGTATCAAAAATTTGTACTGATCAAGTACACATTCAATTTGACCATTGCTTTCATTTTTATTAATTGCTCCGAAGAGCTCTTTACTAATTGCTCCAAAGAGCCTTTATCATTTGCTCTAAACAGTAATTTACCAATTTGGATACTCCGTGCTAACATACACATTCTTTCATGCACTATTTATTGTAAGAGATATAATAGCATTCATTCAACCATATATTTCTATCTAATGTGATGTTTGTATGCATTTCTACATGTAGGCATTTGAAAAGAACTAAAGAAACATGCTACATTATTCATCATTTCTTGCATGTAGTATGTAAGGAAAGAACGTGCTCCTTTCAAAAGAATAAAAATACTAAAACATAAAGCATTTTATGAAAGAATGCATATGTTTTAGACATTTTATTCAATTGAAAAGTTGCACGTTAAGTATAGCATATTTCTTTTAATTATTTTGAAATGCCTACATATGGAATTTGCATAAAAATAAGGCTAAATTTTATAGAGAAGCATTTGAATAATGACAATTAGCAAAAAAGAGCAGATTTAATTAAAATTTTAAAAAAGAGCAAATAAGCCATACAAAAAGGCGTATTCTCTAGAGAGAGAAGAGAGAAGAGAGGAGAGAGGGAGAGAGGGAGGGAAGAGAAAGTATGGGAAGAGAGAGTGTGTGCAAATAATTTTAAATTCTTATAAATATTTTCTTACAAATTTTATTTTTAAATATAAATAATTATATTATATTTAAAAAAATATATAATATAAATATTTTTTAGTTTTATATTAAACATATAATTAAAATATTTATTCAAAATTAAATATTAGTTAAAATATATATTAAGTAGTTATAAATATTTAATTATTATTTTAAATATTTTTAAATATTTAATTATTATTTATATAATAATTAAAATAATAATTAATATTTAATAAAACCCAACAGCATTGCACTCTCTCTCTCTCTTCCCGCCCACACTCTCTTCCCTCCCACTCTCCCTCTCTCCTCTCTCCTCTCTCCCTCTCTCCTATCTTCATCTCTCCTCTCTCCTCTCATTTTTTCTCTCTAGGAAATAAGCCTATTTGTATGACGTATTTGCTCCTTTTTAAAATTTTAATTAAATCTGCTCCTTTTGCTAATTGTCATTATTGACATGCTCATCTCTAAAAATTAGACTAAAAATAATACATTGGATAGACACATATGGTTGTATGAATGATCTCATCTCTCCTACGATAAATATTGAATGAAAGAATGTGTATGTTGATACGGAGTATCTAAATTGATAAAGGGCTCTTCGGAGTAATTAGTAAAAGGCTTTTTAAAGTAATTGATAAAGGGTTCTTCGGAGCAATTAATAAAAAATAAAATCAATGATCAAATTGAATGTATACCTGATCAGTACAAATTTTTTATAATTTTGTTACGGGTGTATAAAGTTATGGATAAATATTATATGCAAAAAAGAGCATAAAAGAAAATTATGAAAAGAATGATAAATGAGAAAGTTATGGTCATATGAAATGATAAAGAAAAACTTGGCATATAGAATGGCTTACATAATATTCATGCCCAATATCAATCTCATGTCATTTATAGTGTTTCTTCTTTTAAGTTATTTATGCATTGAAATATGAAAATTACATACATAATGTTTTCTTTTCTTTGTCTTATGAATTTAATAGAAATATTTGTTACATGCTGAGCTTTAGCTCGCCCTAATTTTGAGAATATTTTTCAGAAGAATCTGCTTAGCTTTGATGGCTGATAGACATGTCACTTACCGTCGTAGAGAATACCAATAAGATAGGTTCTTTATGGTTATTCTATTTCATGTGATGGATTATGTATTTAGTCTACTTGTAGTAGTTTTATGTTTATGAGTTGTTACTTTTAATGTATTAAAATTGTGAAAATGGAATATTAGTGGCTCTTTTCTAATTGTATTTTGATGAATATTTGAATATGTTAATAGTGAAATGAAAGTTTTATTTTTTTCCGTACGACAGTATGTTCCTGCCTCATCAACTAAAGCTTATCGGGCCAACTCATGACATCTTTAAGCGTATATAAAATATTCTACCGGTTCTATTGTTGACAAGAGGTCAACTCTAGACTAATGCACATTCTTATGAAATAATATTGTGACTTGGATAAGTTAAAAATGGAATGTGGGAGCAAGATCTAGCATAGTATCGAAGTTGAATTTAGATTTATGGCATAGCAAATCTGTAAATTGCTATGGCTAAAAATTATTCAAGAAGATTTAAAGGTTGAATGAAAAGATTCTAAGAGGTTTTATTATGATAAAAAGTTGGCAATCAAATTGAATATAATCTCTTATAATATGACCATACAAAGCATATTGAAGTTGATTATTTTTTTATGAAAAAGGCTTAATAGTGGTCTAATATGTACTAAATTCTTAGCATATGAATAACTTGCTCACATTCTCACCAAAGCAAGGACAGGCTTAAAAATTTATCAAGACAGCTTAGAATGTATGACATGCATTCATTCACTTAAGAAAGAGTAAGAAACACCTGTATAATTTTCACCTATTGGGACTAACCTTCATCACAGCTTCTGCCCTCGTCCACTATTCCCATTTGATATATGGGATCCTTATCATCTATTCATCAATCCATCAATTCGTTGACTACTATAATTATTCTATAACCATTATTACATGATTTTGTATGATTTCAAATAAAAAAGCACTCTTAGGATTGTATATATAATACAAGAATATTTGAATAAAATAATCGACCAATTATCTCCAGTTCTTTTTGAAAATATTGAAGAAAATAAGTGCAAGTCCCATTTGCTCTGAAAACTTGGGAAAAAATCCTTTGAAATAAGATGAATAAAGAAGCAATATAATGCAAATCAAGAAGATGGAAAAATTCAAGTTCCGTCTTTCTAGACTGAGAGGTGGTGGAAAAAATGAGCAATATATATATATATATATAAATGAAGAAAAAAATCATACATGAAAATAGAGGCAATTATATGAAGAAAAAAATCACAATTTATTCAACAAAACATGGGAATAAAACAAAAAAATAAATAAAAATATAGAACAAGACTGAAAGCAAAATGACTAACCTAAGGAAAGATAAATAATTGCACTCGTATAGTTCACTAAAAGTAGGCTTTAATGTAAACGGTTCTTTTGTTTACTTACAACGAGAACACTAGTTCTAGCTTAAAATTTATAGTTTAGCCTATCCGTCTGATAATAATTAGATGGAATTAATGCTGATTAACCAAGTTCACATTTGTTGGAGCAATACTTCTTTCATTACATGCACTTATTTATTTTCATGCTCAGACTTCCTTTTGTTTTATTACTTCAAGCTCATTACCATTATCCAAAAATTATATGCATATAATATATTATATAATCATGAACATCAGATGGCCATTTAACAAAAATTTCTAGTTAATTTGTGGTAATGGAGCTATATATAGAATAACTCTAAAATTAAGGTTGTGTGATTAAAATGAAAAGGTTCCACAAGGGTAGTATACAAAAAGAGTAAATATGGAGACTCAAGAAAATTTTTAACAAAACTAATTAAGTCGGTTCTATTGTAGTAGACGTTCTGAGAATATCTGAAACTTTCTTAGATTAGTGCACTTCTAGTTGTTAAGTTTGGACCATGGAATCAATAATGTTGGAGTCATGAAAGCTACTCAGCTCAGGTTTTTAGGCGAGGTGGGCAAAGAACTTTCTTCCTTGTGCCTCATTTAAAAGCATTGCCTAAACAGTGCAAGCTCCTTTGCTATCTCATTCAATTTGTTAAAATCACCAGTGTTAAAATAGCCGGAAGAGTGTCTTTGTTACTTTTCCTTTTGTAAGGGACCACTACAATTGACAAAGGGAGTCAATCTAAAACCTTCCTATAGAAGCATTTCCAGTAGAACCTCACCTAACGGATCAATGCACCAGAGATAATCAGATGCTGTGTCCCCAATGAGACCTCCTTCCTCCCCCAAAATAAGGTGGTCCTTGAAATTCTTTCTCACAACATCTAAGATGACAGACTCACTCATTTTGTCTGTACTGCAATGTAGTGAAAAATAAGCTGTATTACTCATAATGCCGCAAGTGAACCTCAACAGAAAAACCAAATAATCATATCATCAATTTAAATAAGCATTAGAAACTTGCAAGACATAGTTGATTGTGTGGCGGAATTCAATCACGAACAATACTAGAAATCTGAATATCAAAAATGGGAAAAAATATATAGTCAACATTAAAGGAAGAAGATAGGTTAAAATGCAGATTTGGGAAGCCACATTACCTTGTCAAGTCACCTTGCCACTTCATCCAAGTCTAAGTCAAAGCAAGCTTGACCAACCCTCTTTAATGGATTCATGAAGCTTCTAATGTGACGTTCAATCTCCCGAGAGCTAAACTGGGTCAAACATCTTTAGAGTGCTCACTACTAGTAAGGTAACTCATCTTTACTTTGTTGTCAAGCAATTTGTTTAGCATTATTTTCTTGTAACTTAAATCTAGGGATTACACTAGCTTGTTGGTTGGCAATCCTGCAAGTTTTTGCATAAAGTTCGACTGATGAACACTACTTGCATCTCAAACTTCAGTCCTAAAGTAAACCTACTCTTCCCTAAGAATATTTGAGAGTACCTTGGCAAGGTCTAAGTTCCAAATTAAATTGATCTTTTACCTTGAATGTGGATATAAGAAATTATATTGCTCTTGCTATTGGATGTTTTATGATTCACTAGCATACAGTTTGCTGTAGTAATAACTTGTTTTAAATTATTTTCTTGTATTTTTCTTGCTGGCCAAGTTTCAAAAAAAAATATGTATTCTCTTATCCTTACTATTTCATTGCACATGTACAACTGCTATATTATCATATAGTTTCATCAAATTTAATCATCATGACACCTAGCCATGCACTGCATCAAGATCATGATGAAAATAATGTTAGTCTTAGATAAGCATGCCACCACCACCACCACAACAACAACATCAAGCCTTTGTACCACTACGTGGGGTCGGCTACATGAATTCTTTTTCGCCGTTGTGTCATGTTAAAAGTCAAATTCTCATTTAAATCTAATAGAAAAATATCATTTCTAAAATTTTCTAACCAAGTCTTTTTAGATCTACCTCTACCTTTCTTAACATAAGTCAAATCCAATATCTCAACTTTCCTAACCGGGTCATTAGAAGACCTCCATTTAATGTGACCAAACCATCTAAGGCAACTCTCTCTAATCTTATCTTCCACTGGAGCTACTCTAATCTTTTCACGTATATGCTCATTTCATATCCTATCTCCAAGCGTAAAGCCACTCATCCACCTAAGCATCCTCATCTCTGCAACACTTAACTTAGTATTACACTTCTCTTTTAATGGCCAACATTCGGCACCATAAAGCATTGCAGGTCTCACCACCATCTTATAAAATTTCCCCTTATGTTTGAGGACTTTTATATTGCACAACAAGCCCGATGCATTCCTCCACTTCAACCATCCAACTTGAATTCTACTGATAATATCCTCATCTATTTCACCATCACTCTGAACAATAGATCCAAGACATCTAAAACGTGTACTCTTATTAATGACTTGATCACCCAAAGTCACAATCCCCTCACTAGGTCTATTACTACTAAAATTACACTCTATATATTCAATTTCAGATCTACTCAAGCGAAAACTTTTAAACTCTAAGGTTGACCTCCATAATTCAAGTTTACATTCAACTCCCTCTCTAGGCTTATCAACAAGAAGAATATCATCAGCAAAAAGCATACACCAAGGTACATCATCTTCTAAAAGCATGCCACCACATTAAATGTAAATGAGGGTGGGGTTGCACAATCAGAAGTACATGTGGTCAATATCCGTCACAATTACAAGAAATCAACTTATTATGGAACACAAACAAACCTTCCACAACATCATCTATAACCTCATAATATGGATGAGGAGCAACCCCACAAATCCTCCTTTTGGGCAGCTCCAGATCTAAGAAATTTGGGCAAAGGTGATCACCAATCTAGGCAAGCTATTGACTTTAATGATTATTCTAGAAAAAAATAAAGTTTGAGCTCATAAATTTAGAGTTAATGATTCAAATCAATTCACAGATAGGTTATCTCTAACCAAAGATTTCTTTGACCGGCATAGGTTTGATGACTACTAAAGAGAATGACTTGGCAAAAATGAAATGGTATGTCGTGGAAAAAAAAAATTTATACCAACACCTCAGCTAAAAGAGATTACATAGGTGTGATATGAACATGTTAAAGAAGAAAGAAATGCAAAGGATTAAGGGGTTATTTGATTTAATGAAAATTGAGTGTGAAGTATTCTAAATGCAAGAGTTTCCAAATTTTTGGTAGTTAATTTGCGGAAAAAGAAATGCAAAGTAAAATTTTAGAAATGATAAATTCACTCGTAATTCATTGTTTATAAATTCATAATTAGCCTGTTTTGGCCAAATTTCAAATACACCGTAAGCTTGATCCGCTCTCGTTGTTGGACAACCGCCGTCAGCCACCACCCCCACCACTAGGTGGTATATTTTTCATATGTATGCCCTCTATAATAATAAGAAATGCAAGTTAGTGATGCATGAGGATAGTAATATGAATTTGATTTTTACTCGTATACTTGCAAGGCAAATCTTAAGGTTGAGTCTCATCCTAAGTCTTTTCATGTAGTGCCATGAATGTAAACTTTATTTGCACGTTCCAAAGGCTAGTCCCACAAATTTTTGGGTTGATTCCCCCTTTAGGTTGGTTTACCTCCACAAAATATGAAATGAGCGTGACTCGATCTCCTCCTTTGTATGTCCCACAATTTTTTGGGTTGATTCCCCCTTTTGGTTGGTTTACCTCCAAAAAATATGAAATGAGTGTGACTTGATCTCCTCCTGCGTATGTCCTTTGCATAGTTTGATCCCATGAGGTATATTTTTAGCTAAAATGTAAATCCAAATATGATGCTATAGAGGCCTTTGAATCAAGCCTAATCATAATGTACCAAAACAAATTTAAATGCAGGAATAAAAAGAAAATTATACAAATGCACTTATATACATAATGCAAGCTCCTAATACAAATATGAAATTCATGTCTCTAGATTCAATTCATAGTCATGGACTTAATAATAAGACTATGATGCATTACATTAACTCACTTCCACTAAAAAGAATTATGTTGCTTGGAGTTGAAGTAACAAGCAAAATAAACATAAATATCTAACTCAAATTCTCGAAGGATATGCAAGGTTTTGAAGTGTTCGAAGGAGTAGATAACTAGCAAATGGAAACACGGATGGTGGAGAATCTGTGGGTTGTGGAGGTGCTCCATATGGTTGCATATGTTTCACTACAAGGCCAATCAGCCAATAATCATGCGTCATAATTCCTTTAATCGGTAGCAAAACAAATGCAATGAAAAGAGAATCAAAATTTAAGAAATAAGGAAAACACTAATTATAATCATGTACAATAATGTCCCTAATCAGTAAATACTCTTAAATTGATGTATAGCAGAGGACATGACTGTGGAAGATATGTATGTTGACCAACATGATGATAAAACATATGGCTTGCAATGCTCCTCACTAAAGTTACTTGTTCTCTATAATTTTTTAAATCATATTCATTGAAATGGTTCTAGATATCTTTTTATACATGCTCAAATAACTTCATTTAATTTAAGTAATCTTACCCATTTGTTAGGATAAAATATTTGTTTGGAAAACATATCTAGAATGGAATTGCTCATGAACGCATCTTATATTACATCCTGTACTAACGTACATGACAATGCTTCAGATCGAATTTAACAAGTATATGTACAAAACCTAATAACAGTTTTCCATAGAACTCATTGAAATTAATTATCCAAATGCGCTTTCCTGAACAAAATAAAAAAATTCAGCTGTCATTAACACATTTATTAAGGCAATGCTTGTTTGATCTTGAAAGGGCCGAAATTTCAATAAACCTTTAGCAAATATTGTTCTTTGAAGGTGGTGGAGTTTTAACAGGATGATGTTTCAGATCAAAAAATACAGGTTTTTGCTATCTTTACCTTTTAAACAAATTGTGTGAGGGTGAACTATTTTAAAAAAGAATCATAATAATAAGGGCAATCTACAAATGAATTAGAGCAATATATATATATATATATATATATATATAGATGAGGAAATTTGAATAAAAAGAAGAACGACAAGAAGAAAGTAAGATTAAAGACTTACAAGACTTCTATTTCATGAATAGTCTCAATTAAAAACCAAAAAATAAAATACTTTTGTCAGCTAACGAGAACTTCAGATATTTCATGATAGGCTAATATTTTCGATAGATGCCATCCCAATCTAGGAACTTCATGGAAAAATACTGATAAATGAAGTTCAGCCCAATCCACATGCAAAATCAGACAAATTTTTACTGTTAATTGTTGAAAATTAGATTAAGAAGAGAGAACAATAGTCATCTATATAGCACAGCAAATCATTACCAGACAAAACGCTTTAACTCACCAAATAGGAATGGATGACAAAAATGATGCAATCAAAAATTTGGGAGAGGGGCCCAAATTTTTTATCACAAAAAACAAAAACTCTTTCTAGGATGATAGAAAGACATAAAATACTTAAAAGAACACAAATACTATAAAACACAACTTTATATAATAAAATGACTTACAAACAAAAACTCTTACAAGCGACGCTTACAAACTTTGACACAAACATGACATAAACATCAATCCTAAAACTGCATTTTCTTGAGAAGAATGATACAATGGAGTGGACACTTGCGGAGAGAAGAAAGAGGTTAGAAGCCAAGAAGAAAGAGCAGAAGCTCGCAAGCTTTCCTAGAAGAGGAGAGGAAGAAGTGGCATAGCTCGCAAGCTATCCAAGAAAACCCTCAGGTTTCCCAAACGGCTAAGCAAAGATCAAGGAAAAAAGCTACAGGTTTTCAGCACAACCAAGGCAGCATTTAAAGGGAATAAAGGCCACGGCAGACCAGCAAATAAATGAAGGAAAAAAGGCAGCAGCTCAAGAGGCAAAGATGAAGAGAAAGAGACAAGTTCCACACACCTAAAAAACTTGCACACTTTTCCAACTTTAGAGCTAAACATTAGCTCATAATGAGCTACAACTCCACATGATAATAATGAGCTTGCACCACTAAAATTTCAACAACTAAGCTCAAAACCGAAATCAGCCAAGGCTCCATAGAATTGTGTTGACCCCCCCCCCCCTTTTGCCTACATCAAAAAAACTATGTGCTGGCCCAGCAGTAAAGCTATAACAAGTACTTACTACTAACAAAGCATTATACATCACCATTGCATGCAAAGAGCTTGTAACAGTGACTATATCAAAATAGTCATTATTTTAAAAAATAATTATGACTACCACGATAAACGCAAAAATAAGAACACCTTGATCCAGAGATCATGACACTAGCCAGGTAACATGAATACTACATTCATATTAATTCCACATGCAAACCTAGAAGGCCCTACATCTGTGATGCATCAATTTCCTTTAGAAAAAAAGCTCATCATCGTCATTAGCCTAATCCCAATTATTTGTTGTCAACTTTATAAATTATCATTTTCCATACATCCCAATTCAGTGTTACATGAGGTAATAGACTTATTTTGTGTAAATTCTTTTACACAACTTCTATCCAAATTACATTCAATCTATTCATTTTTCTTCCTAATTCTTCAAGCTAATTTTTAGTCACATTCAACTACATCCTCATTTTAAGCAATATTCACTCACAAAAGTTAAATGGCTCAGCAATTTCGAAAAACCGCAAACAGTGGAAATCATGTTAAATAACTCCTAAAGACAAATTGAAAACCATTCATAATTTTTTTTTCTAAATTGTCATATACAACATGCCAACTCATATGCATGGTACACGGGATGCAATCTTAGGTTTCACATTTATGAGTGAATAAAAGCATAAGTATAGAAATGCAAAGAGAAAAAATATGTACAATTGTAATCAATCAAGTGAACAAATAAGACAAAAGCAAAGCATATTATTGCTTGTCCTTACTCTGTCACCAAATCTGTGACTCCTTTATAGCTAATATTCCGTGGCTTGTTAACAGCATCCATGACAACCTGCAAGTTAGCCTATCACGTTAGTAAAATGATTATGACTTCGTACAGGCCGCAGAAAATAAACAAATCGTGGAGCAATTCCTCCGCTGCCCATATAGCACACAACTTGCAGGAAACACAACAGCAATTCTTACCTCTGGGAATCAAATGACAATCATTCTCTGATAGAGGAAAGTTCATGCAGCACCAAAATCCTAAAGAATGATTGTTATTTCATTCACAGAAATCCGTATATAGAAAAGAATTTACATCCATAAAATGTGACAATTAGCCATACCTCAAAAAAATGTATAAGGAAATAACCACATGCAAAATTCAAACTATAATTACAAAGGAAGGCTAACAACCAACCTTGACTTCTTGCGTCAGGAATAGAATTGAGCTAAAGTTTCGTATTTCAAATTGCACGTGAAATACTTGTACAATAGAAGTGGAAACTTCTTTAAACACCCAAGGACAACTTGAGACGGTGCTCTTATTCCGAATTTAGTAGTATCACACAAACAGAGAATGCAACAAGTCTAACATGGAAGAAGGCCAGAAACAATCTGTTGAACAGAAGTAGAGCTTACAAACCAAAGTAGATAAAGCGCTACTGGTTATATGCCAAAGCTTTTAGAAAATAATACCCCTTTAGAATATCTCGTTAAGTATCAAAAAATGAGAGAGAAAGTCAAAACCTTGCTTATTTTAAACAATTTCATTTCTCATTGAAACTTCAAAGGAAAGGATGGTCTCCAGATTTTAAGCTGGGCATCAAGAATTTAGAAGCCAACTATGACAGAAAATGCTTGAAAAAAAAAGTCTTTAAGACGATTAATTTATTTTGGTTAAAGTAGCTTCATGGAGCAAAGGAAGTCCGATAATACAGAATGTAAGAAAGAGCCAAATCAAAGCCTTGTCCAATCTATTTAGTATTTTGTGAAACCCATTTCATTACTCAAGGCATATCGTTGTGTGTGTTAAAACTATTTTGTCCACTTTTTTTTTCACATCATATACTTAATTTATCTTTGATCCACTGATTCTCCTTCCTAACCTTTACACACTAATTCTCTCCACTTTTTTATATGGGTGGATCTTCTATCCTTTGCTATACATGCCCGTAACACCTGTGTGTTTTATATTCATCTTCAAAAGGTGATGTATTAATTGCAGTCTCTCAAATATAAACAGTTCTCGCTCAAAATTTTCTAGCTATGCTACATTCATGTTATAGCATTCTCATTTCAGACACTAAAGTTGGCTATCAATAAATATTATGTTAATGATAGCTATTGTGTTAGTATGCATAGCCTTATGAGCAAACAAATCATGTAATCCATGACATGTTGCACACAAAAAAAACAGTAACATTAAAGTTGATAAATATCGCGCAATGGCGTGTAAAACAAGAAAGAACTAAGCAAATCCAATACAATCAGCACTATCACATCAAGATCTCACATAGTCATGCACGTGTGCACATTAAACACAGTCATACAAAATCAGTGAGTCACTAATCAATATAAGTTGACCAAGGGACATTGGGTGAAAAGTAGCTACAACTAGCAAAGAATTTGGAGAATCAACATAAATTACCTATGGTTTGAGAAATAGAAAAATGAGTGCCGAAAGGAATATCCGGGATATAATGCTTCTTATGTAAAGGGGGTATTACATAATTCAATTTTAATACATATATGTAGGAATTTTTCAATATTGTTTAACTTTTTTGCAATTTTTAATGCACATCACAAATTAGGGACAAAAAAGTACAAATTGCAAATATTTTTCTTGCAATTTTTAAAGGCACAATTATAGATTTTACAAGCACTTGATGTTCAATTTTGGGTCTAATTGCTTCATTTTTAAAAATATTAGTGGTTAAGCTAATTAGTTCACATTTTAACCTTAAGATAAAAATGGATTCTAGCTAGCTAAAAGCTCATTAACTTAGTGACATATAATTGTAATTTGGGTCAAGCATCATGTTATGGGTCAAATAAAATATCAATTTGTCATTTTTTACCAAGTTTTGCCTTGATTAATTGTATATTTTGTATTTAACGTATTTGATCACTCTATTAGAGAGAATTATGATTTGGGTTAGTATCATCATGATAAAGGTTGTACAAAAGATCAATTTGTCATATTTCTCACAGCTTTACCTTTTTTTTTTTTAAAATAAAATCATATGAGATGAAAATTTCTCACAGCTTTACCTTGATAAGCAGCAAATCTGAATTTTCTAACCTTGCATGACGTGTTAATGTACAAATAAATCCTTTTGTATTTGGCCAAATATGATTGATGAGATATCAAGAGAAGATTGCATGCCAACCGCTTCACCATGTGACATCATTTGCTTCATGTTATTTGTTCTTTGGAGAGGGTCGCAGACCAAGGAAATAGAAGACATATATCAGGTTCTTCATGTGTGGTGGTGTTGCCTTGATTGCCAACTTAGAAGAGGTAGAAGAATTTTGCAGATTTTAACTAGTGTTCATCATCCTCAGATATATCGTCCCAAGCATGCTTTGGCAAGTAGAGAAACTAGAGTAGAAGAATATGAAGAAGAGCTTGGTATGGAATGTGGGTGGAATCCATCATCATTAGAGAGAAATAATTAGTTCAGCTTTAGCTATTTGTTAGCCATTGATCTGCTTGAAAATTTTATATGGTCATGTTAGTGAAGTTTTGGCTTTGCATATTCAGACTATGAGTTTTCATTTACTTATTTCCTTACGTTTGTGTAGATATCATGATTTATTAACATGTATGGTTATTTAGGAGTTAAATATTAGTGCATTGAAATGGTTTGTAGTGGTTTATAGATTGTTAATATTTTATTTATTGCAACTGTCCAAGAAAATTGATAATGATACTGTAAAGTTGAAATTAAGTAGCAAGTGGATGCATCTTAACTGCATGCTATGATTTGATGAGACATTATCTTAACATCATGTCACAAATGATCCCTAAGTTAAAGATTATGGGTTGTGTTGACTGGTACGCAATGTGTTTACATAATTATCACGATCAGGTCATCTTCATGTATTTCTTACACAAAACGATAATATTATAACTTTTGACAAGGCGCCTTAACATGTTAAACTTCCAGAGGACCTCCTTATGCTCAAGAAAGGGCAACGTGAGATCAAAAATGGATTTAACTATGTACGACAAAAGGAATCAAATGAGCAAATGTGTTAACAAGGTGAACTATCAGAATGAGGATGAGAAGAATGATTGTGCTGAAAATTTGGCAAAGAAAAGCACAAGCGTATAGAAAGATTTTTAAAAAAGTTTGTAAGTACTATAATTAAGGTATGCAGGTAACTTCACTCGTGCATGTGATAAAATGAAGATATGTTTTTCAATTTGTTTTAATTTACAATCTCTAGTTATTATATGAACAAATGATTCTCCTATATGGACGATTAATTCAAGGGCAACAAACCATATAGTTTGAGATGGAGGAACATGCATAACCTTTTTGCAGAACAATGATCAAGAGTAAGAAGATGTAAAGGGGAAACATTACAACTGTTGATATGATGGTATTGAAAGCTACAAGTTGTGAAAATACAACATAAACATAGCATCATGTTTTTTATGCTCTTGAATCCGGATTCAAAAGAATCCAATATAATTCCTTGTGTCGGTCAAACTAGATTCCTTAAATATCTCTTTGACTTTGTTAGTCCTTATGTTACTCAAATCAGGTTCTTGAAAGTTGTATTGAGCTCAGGTAAGTCATTTCAGATTTTTAAGTATAAGAGCTCGATATTGAAACTTAGAATACTCCATATAAACTAGTAAATGGTATTAGATTTGTAGTTCTTAAGGATGGTGAGAATGAAATGTGGAATATGAACATAGAAATAGAAAGGTCCCTCAGCATAGAGTTAAGAGAAAGAAATTATTGTAGATTCAATTGATGATGAAAAATCAAGGTTTTAAAAATCAGACCGGACCAGCCGATCCAACCGGTTCAACCTGCGAACCGGTGAACCAACCAGTTCAATTACCATATTTTTTAAATAATTAAATAAATAAATTTATTATACTAAAGATTAAATATCAAATAATTTTCTTAAATGGATAAATTAATTTATAATAAAAAAATTTAATTTTAAATTAGCATGAAATTTTTATTATATTTATTTGCCCCAAACCACCATAAAATCACCATGAAGCATCTTCGCATGAATTTATTTGTGTAAATTATATCTAAATATGTAATATAAATTATTAATAATTTATATTAAATTATATGGTTATATGTAAATTAAATTAGATTAAAAATCTAATTTAAAATTATAAAAATATTTAAATTTAAAATTATCATTTTATTATGAGTGTAAATTCTTAGAATTATGAGATTTTGGGTTTTTTGCTCTTGTGTGAGATTTTAAAAATAATTCTTTTAATTAATTATACAAGTTTTCTGCTTTATAATTTTTTATTTTTATCAAAATAGTGTCTCATATTTGAAATGATAACATCATTATTATGTTAATTTTATTAATTTTTAATAATATTATTCTTTATTATGTCATCTGGTTCGACTCCAATTCAACCGGTCGAACCGTGAACCTCTCCTTCCAGTTCGTTGTCTGATCCAATTTTCACAACCTTATGAAGAACCTTAGATAGTCCAGGATGATTTTTTAGGTTTGAATATGGACAAATAGAATATTGCTCTGAAAAGTAAATAGATTTCACAAAATTTATTCAACTTTGAGAGTTGAAGAATTTGCCAAAAGATAGAAAGATGATATTGAATCAATGTTGTTAAAAGTACAATGAAATGCACTACAAAGTAACAATAAGGTTGTGCATAACTTTGCAAAATATCAGGCTTACACCTTGAAGTATAGTCTTTACAAAGTGCATAGCACTCCAACGCATTCAACTCTTCTTTCAAGATCAAAGAAAAAGATCAATTTAGAAAAGAGTTAGCATCGTGTATTGCTCATCACTACACATGCATGCCCTATTGCTAACTAGTTGATAATACTTGACTTAAAATGCCATAAATACTTCATAATTTTAATTTATATATTGATTATTAAATACTATAATGCTATGTAATAAGCACGTGCACACTTCAAAATGAAAAAAATTCACATTTTTCATCATGAAAACTTTGCTAGGAACAAATGAATTTTAAAATTAAATGAAATTATATGGATCCACGGATAGGTACAAAGCTTTGTTTGGAAATTGTAGTTTTTATGCTACAAATGAAATCGAACATGAGCATACATTTTCACTTATAGTGATATTTGCCTCCATTATGACCATGTGGGCCATTAAGGCATATTTGGACTTTATTTTTACTAGACATACGTAAGGATTATTTTGGAATGAAGAAATAACTAAAGAAATTTATGAGCCAACTTGTCATGTTTGTTCTTAAAAGTTAGGAGTATAAGATATGCAAGGTTAGTAAATCCATTTAGAATTTATTATTTGGTTAGGATGTTAGACCTTCATGAGGGTGATAAAAAAGCTGACTCTATGCACAGAGGGTGATAAAAAGGTTTTCCAAGTACCTTAAAGAAATGTCAATTTGCATACTATGTTTTCGAGGTTGTGAGCAACACCTGATTGAATCTAGAAATTTCAATAGTGGAGGAAACCTTTATGAACCAAAGTCTGCTTCAAAATGTGTGCTCTTATTAAATAATGATGCTTTCTATTATGAAGGACACGAAGCAATCATGTGTATCTTTTTTCTATAATAGACATTGGGTGTACGGTGTATCCATGGACAGTAAAAGAGGCAATCTAGTTAACAAGGCTTCTCAAAGGATTTGGGCATACTTGCAAGTGTTGATGCCCCATTATGAGGCGATGCAATAAGTATGATGGTGTTGTATGTTAAACATTTGAATGTGACAGGTGGATTAAGCAAATTAAGAAAGATATCACTTTATTTGAGATATATTAGCAAAATTGAAGTAGCCTCAAAGCACAATTCAAGAAGAAAAATGGTAGCTAGTCCTTTGATCAAATGGAATGCAAAGCTAATTTACATGTTAAACTTCTTTGGATTATAGAGAATGTCACTGACAATCTTATGACAACATAATTTAGCCTTTATATAGCTACTATAGTGATGTGTGCTTGATAGGTGCTACACTTAAATATAATTTGTATGAAAATTGTTATAAAAGATGTTGTGGTTTTGCTTGCACATGTTTTATGTCAATAAACTTCAGTTGCTCCCACTCACACAAGCAAAAACTCCATGCCCTTAAGATAGCTCGTAAAAGGCAATCTTAGTGCTAAAATATCGAGAGAATTAGCAGCTTTTACACCATGAGATTGTATAAAGGCTTCATTTCTTTCACCCTTAAGTTACTCTGGCCATTGGGGTGGGAAAACAAACATAAAAAAGGGAAGGGCTACTTGGATGAAAAATTTTGGCATTTTTTTTCTGTTATCCCCGCAGTTTACTTCAAAAAAAAAATTCTTATTGGATAATAGAATTATTTTTTTAAAATAAAACAAATGAAAGCATAAGCCATGCTAAATGAAGCTGAAGACACTCGTATGGGTTTTGTATGATTTAAAGTGTTTGAAATCCTTGCATGCCAACCGCAATTGATTAGTTATCTTGGTTGACTACCAAGACAAGGATTTGTAGAAATATGTAACCCAACATAGGGATGCTATCCTTCAAGTATGACAGACCCAAAAATGCAAAGTCAAGGGGGATAGGTAAATAGAAATGTTACCCAACATTGCGATGAGATTGTTTTCGTGATCCAAACCTGAGTTTGTTCTCATTTAGTTATTTATTTATCCAAGTAGCCTATAGAGGGTGGAATGAGTACCTAAGTAGTTTGTAGGGATAGAGGATACCACATTGGTTACATGAGTTATGATTGTGGAAACCTCAAAGTATGTTAAGAGTAAAATTACATTCAATATTGGAGCTATCCAAAATAGCATGCTTTTGACATGGCTTATTTCTTAAATCAAACACTAAGACTAGCAGAATACAATCCAAAAGTGGCTTGCTAATAGGAATCCAATCTCCTCGTTGCAAAAACAACAATAACGAAGAGAAAACGCAATAGAAATCAGCAAAAAAGATTTTTATTTCGACAAAACAAATCAAGATACAAGTTGATCTACTATTCGAGATGAAGATTGGCTCTCCACAAACCCTAGGCACCGCTATGAAAAACTCCAAAGAAAATTATAGCAAAACACAATTCACATAATAAAAATAAAACAACCTAATTAACCCGAATATAAACCTTCCTAATTCCCTCCCAAATCTAAATTCAAATCAGCCCTCTTTTCCTAAATAAACATTTCCTAATTCCCTCTAAATTTTTATTTTCTATGGTAAGTAATTAAAGGTGAAATGATTCCCCTTTGAGCCCCCCTCTCTTCTTGCCTGCCGCCCTTCCAAGTGGGGCCCATCGGCTCAGTCGCCAGTCCTTTGGGTAAAAGAAAGGCAAGTGTATCATACCTTCACATAGGTTTGAAGGTTTACTGGTTATATTTCTATGAATAACCTAGTGCGCGGTTCGCAAATAATGTGAGTTGACACTTATAGTATTTAAGAAATATCCAACCTTTTACAACAAAACATGTCAGAGGTAAATGAACACAACTATTTTTTTTTTCTCTCTATCAAATTGTGCATAGTGATGCCTCTATTATAAATATCCAACTTAATCATGTTTATAAAAATGGTAGCCATTTGTTTCTGGTGATTAGGGCATACCGCTCACTTGACTCTAACTGAGAGAGATGGTTAATAGAATAGAGATTGCAACATTTAAAAAAAATCACCCATGAGATGCTGGTGTGTAGGTTCTATGGGTTTAGTAAACCTTAACACATACCCAAGATGGGTGCAATATCAAGGCTAGTGGTTAGTTCTAGGGCATTTCATAAGTTCAAACCTCCCAACACATCATAGCTTTGATAGGAAAGCCTCAAATTCTCCTATGCTAAAAGAAGGCTTCTCTACTCCACGCCGTCCATCCAAACACTCTCTAATTCCATCAAGAGGCATTCCACAGGTAGAACTGTATAAAGATTCAATGTAATTTTCCTCAATAAAAACATAATTGCAAAATTCCAGTTGAGCTGTTTTTGTTTCAAATATAATGGACCTGCTTTTGAATTTCTTATGCAAAACATTTTTCAAATAGATTAACTATAATAAGGGTAATCTTAACACAGATAGACTAAATTCTAAAGGTGACCTCAAACCAAAAAGTAACAATCAAAATAACACAAACAACTATAAATTTAAGGGGAAAAATAATATTTCTCTGTAAACTATAGCCACGTTTGTGATTTCTGGAGCAAATGATACTATTCCATGCGGAAACTATTAAATGAAGAAGCTCAAAATACTAAAAACTATAACATTTTTTTATTCACAATCAATAAAGATAAAAATTAAGAAACCCCTTGCAAACTTGCCAAAGAATAAACGATTCAATATTTCCATAGCCCTAAATCGGACATTAAGCAAAAACAGATCAATAATTAAAAAGCGGGTTATAAAGAAAAAATACATAACCCCTGCTCCGATCTTGGCAGCAAGCTCGACTATCCCAAGGAGCTCCGCCGCAGGAACTGGCCCCGTCGACTCGGCGCCGACTCTTGGATACTTCCTCGTGTTCGGAAGATCGGAAAGAACAGCTCTCGTCTGTAAAGAAAGTGCAGGTCTCGCAGAAAAGCGCACATTTTCCCTGAGAGAGTGAGCAATTCCTTGATGCGCTTGGCGTGGATAAGATTGAGTGACCGAGAAGAATCTTCTCAGTTTCGGAGGACTGGCGGCGGGAGAGATAAGAGCTCTACCCATCCGCAGAGTTTCCGGTCTTTGTCTCTCGGTTTCACCTCTCCTCCGCTTGAAAAAAAACCTTGCTTTGAGGCGCCTCCGATGTCTGGATTTCCTTTTTTTTTTTAGAATTTTATATTAAGGGAAAAGATGCTTCGACGCTCCCGGGCTCAACCCTTAACCCACTGGATAATAAGAACCGAACCAGCCTCGATAGAGCCGAACCGGTTAACTCAAGCTGCAGTTTTTTTTTTTTTTTTTTTTTTGGT